TAACTGGAGTATTTTGACAGTAAAAGAGGCTGTAATATGTTGAGATATCCCTATATCTTTTTAATAAAATTCTTTTTATTGTCGATAAAAATAAAAAATAAAATAAAATAAAATAAAAACCTAATTAGTGAATTGGGTGGGATATTTTTATTGATTGAGTTTGGTGGGGGTAACGTTAGGGTGGGTTTTACTCCCAAACATCGATCATATATATACCTACATGGTCTTAGCTTGAGGGCAACGACAAAATACCAACCGTCCTTTTCTAGGGTAGGTAGCCAATAAGCATTCATGTGAGAACGATGGTTCTGCTACTTTTGCATTTCTTTAACTTACTCTACAGTATACAGGTTTTTTTTTTTTTTAGTGGTCCAAAACCTTTACCTATACCTGTAATTCAATTTCTTTTTGTCCTCTCGTTTTCATTTTTAGAGAGATACTAGATTAATTTTTCAGTGCAAGAAAGAAATGAAAAAGGAATACGTTGGTTTTACTTTTTGTTGATTCTTTGTCATCAGAGTTTCATTAAAGTTTTTGCAGAGAACAAATTGAGGGGGGTAAAAAAGAACTTTTGAAAACCAGAAAGATTCAGACAACAACTTCTAAACTTAGATAAAATGAAAGACTTTGTTCATCTGTGCCTTTTATTTTCCCTTTTTGTTTTACAGTAAAATGTACAATTTTTCTATGGCTTAACTAGAGAGTTTTGTGGTTGGTCCTTAAAGATTGTGTGGATCTGGGTTAGTATACCAACTACAAGTTACATTTGGATTTTGAATCCTTCCCCGAGTGTAAAATTTTGATGTGAGGATAATATGACTTTAAGTGTCTATGTTACCTCATCACATCAACGGATTACTCTTGGGGGTGTAATCTATAACGTTTTAGAAATTAGAGCTGCGTCTCATTATTTGATGTGTGCTTTATTGTCTCACTCCATCATGCATCATTTAAGCAGGAAGATGGTACAAATGTACAATTTAAATTGAAAAATAAAATTTAAATTGAAAAATAAAATTTAAATTGCAAAGTGTATTGACAAGAAAAATTTTAAGATAATATTAATTAAGGATTTTTTTTTAAGACATATATTAATGATACTCTTTTGTAATAAATTTATATAAAAAAATACAAAAATAAATATTAATTTTACAATTAATATTATGTGAATAAATTTAATTAAGTAATTAATAAATTAAATATTATTTTTATTTTTTAAAACTTAAAACATATATTCTTAAAATATAAGTTAAAAAATTAATTAATTAATATACATAAAAATTTGACGGCAGAACCCTCAAATCACCCCCTGACAAATATAGGTAGGGACGGATCCACCCCTCCAAAAAAAGCAGGGACAAATGACACCCCCAAAGTATCGATTTGGTCAAATCGATCATTATCTAACGGGTGACGTCATCACCGTCACGATCTCCGTTTAGCTCGTGCCAGCGTGTCGTTTTTTTACACGCTGGATGCTGATGTGTACCAATTTCGTCACGATCTCCAAATCCCTGAACACTAACATGGGGTTCCCAATTTGCAGTTAGGTCCCCGCCCAAGTCCAAATCCCTAACTCTGTAATTCATTTCACCTGCTCCGATCATCTTCTGTACTGCCAAATTTTAAAAATGGAGGAATTAGTTGTCGTGATTCTGTCTATGCTTCTTGTTGTTGCTTTGATTTCGTTGTATCTATGGAAACGCCGGCAGGATTCGGGATCACCTCAGGAACACGAAGAAGACCGTCAGGTCCATTTCTTTCCCCCTTTTCTATTTCACGAAATTTGTGCATTTATTCAATGTTTGAAGGTTTCCCAGATGAGCAAATTCTGGGCTTTTTGTTTGTTTCTTATTCCCTGGTGTCGGTTTCAGGTTCCAATGAGGGAAGCTGTGGTTGGCGCCATTGGTGCTCGTAGGATGCGTAGGAGA